ATGTTGACCTCTGACCTGGGTACAGGTCAATCTTTAACCAGACATGAAAGATCTGGGATTCACTAATTATCCAAAACCTTTTGGTGTCTTAACATTTTTAGGATAAACTCTAAATCTTTTGATAACAGCATTCAAATACTATAAAAAGTACCATGATTGTAACTGAACTTGTATGGTTTATTGGGTGTGCTATTATATCTGGACCGTGACCGATTGGAGGGCTTGTGATGCACATAAAATCACCTTCAGAATGGGTACAAAGCCACATATAAACACATGCAATTTATTGTGGTAATAGAAAGGAGTATCATATGCAGTGCTCATGAGGGCATTGAAACTTTAAACTCTACGAGACTGTTTCTGAGTCACCAATATTTCATTGGGCACCTCTATGCAGTGTGAATAGGTAGGCAAAATAGTCTAACCTTTCTCAAAACAATATATATCAACACAAAAGTCCAAAAATAGGGAACTCGTTGAATAAATGATGGTATAAATGCAAGCAGGAATATCATGCTATTATCAAAAGGTATGTTCTCAAAGAATGAAAGAGGAATATATTCCCAGTGTAATGTTAAGTGGGAAAAATGAGTACAAAACTGTATGTATATTCAATATATATTTTGTCTATCTCTCTCTATGTTTGGAGTATACTATAAAGCAAATGTATTTCACTGGGCCTAGTTTCTTGTACTTTCAGGTTTAGTCTAACTTCTTAAAAGTACATATAAAATGTCGACCTTGCAAAAAACAAGAAATTTTCCCCAGCCTATAGTCTCTGTTGTAAGACAAAGAATTGTAACACAGCAAGGTTGCTGGTTCAAAGACAGACAAGTTACTGATTGATATGTAAAGATACTGGGAAGCTGCTGTAGGGAGAAGGAATGTTTGTTAAGATCAAGCTTTTGTTGGTGGATCACTTAAATTGCCTTATGGAATGTCACTTTGCTTGTTTTACTGAATGTTACCAGCCTATATTGTTAAACTATAACCCCACCTATGTTCTCTTCCTGTAACTTCTTGGTCTGGAGAAAAACTGCGGGAAGATGACCCCAATTTGTGGTTAATTTCCCAAATGAAACAAATGCCTCTCTCTTGAAGGTTCCAGGAGATTAACCACTTCAGGGCTTCTCAGTGCTCAGAGATGGGCTTTGAGTAATCCTTTGTGGCTCCATCACCCAGGGGAAAAGGGGTGACAAATCCGCAGGAGGCAAAGCAACATCTGTGAATATACATATATATCTCAAAAAATGAAGGGTAGTTATTTCCGATAGTAGGACTCTGGGCTACATTTCTGATATTTTCTAAAACAAACACACATTGCCTTTGTAGTCAGTATATATAACTGACAATAACTGTCATTTAAGGAAAAAAATCTGGATTTTGTCATTTAAATGCAAAAAGCATTACCAAATGAATGACAGTGCAAGACCCTGGGACTCTACGGCTGGCTGCATTTCTGTGATGTAGGTCGCAGGCTGAGCCCAGGCACCCACTTTCCCATCTGCATGTAAGGCCATTGGGAAGTAGGGGAGCAGCGTGAAGAGCCACCTTTGATGATAAAGTATGTACTTTAAGACAGCAAAGGAGCAATTGGAGTCAACTAGGCATGGGGTGAAGAGAGCCTCTGGGTGCAGGATGCAGGAGAGAGGGAGGTTGGAGGACATGGAGGTACTCCCCCAGGGCTGGAGGTGGTGAT